CGTAGAAACTGGCGTACGCCACTTTTTGAGCGTATATCCCTTTATAAATGAGGCCCCTGGTGTGGGGAAAACCACCTGGAGCTCAACGCCCTAAAAACAGTGGAGATGGTCGTGGACTTCAGGAAGAATGCAGCCCCACCCACCCCCATCACTCTGTGTCACTCCCCAGTAACTGCTGTGGAGTCTTTCCGCTTCCTGGGCACCATCATCGCCCAGCACCTCAAATGGGATTAGAACATCAGCTCCCTCATCAAAAAAGCACAGCAGAGGATGTTCTTCCTGAGGCAGCTGAAGAAATTCAACCTGCCAAAGACGATGATGGTGAACTTCTTCACCTCCATCATGGAGTCCATCCTCACCACCTCCATCACCATCTGGTAAACCACAGCCACAGCCAAAGATAAGGGCAGGCTGCAGCGTGTCATCCGCTCTGCAGAGAAGGTGATCGGCTGCAATCTGCCATCCCTCCACGACCTGCATGCCTCCAGACCCCTGAGGCGGGCAGGGAAGATAGTGGCCGACCCCTCCCACACTGGACACAAACTGTTCACCCCCCTCCCCTCTGGCAGGAGGATGCGCTCCATCAGGACCAGAACCTCTCACCACCTGAACAGATTCTTCCCCTCCGCTACCGGCCTCTTAAACAAGGCCCGCCCCCCCACTGACACTTTACCTCAGCCACAACGTAGTCTCTATATGCATTACATTAATGTTCATACTGCTTACTGCACATATTTCTTGTTTCATAACAACATTCATAGCATTCTATTTCCATGTAAATTACTGCTTTATTTTATTGCTATTTAACTTTATTTTATTACGGTGTCCTAAAAGATTTTTTCTTTTGTATTAGATTACTTGTTTTATATTTTATGTCTGCACCATGACATCAAGTCAAATTCCTCGTATGTGTGAACGTACCTGGCAATAAAACTGTTTCTGATTCTGATTAGGCATTTTCTCAGGTGAGGGGTCCTCGCTATAATTTGAGACCATTTGATGAACCACTAGGCTTGAAAGTAGGATATCAAAAAAGTATACATCTAGGGCTGGGCAATACATAAATATGATATGATATGAGACAAGATATTGAGTTTGAATATCTAAAACAGTATGAGTGTTGTTTTCCCCCGATTTCAAAGACTACATTATGTCATTTTTATATTTCTATCAATCGTCTTTAATCGCCAAGTCATTAAATCCACTGTACTGATCAGAATTGACCAAAATCCTATCGTGGAAATATTAAATAAAAGCACCAATAGTCAACCCAACAATATCGTTGAAACATCGATAAAGTATTTGGTCAGAAATATCATAATATCTGATTTTCTACAAATGGCTTAGACCTATATACCCACTGCATTTTGTGCATGTCCACAGTGTGTACAGTGGGGTGCTGCTGTCCACCAGTCAGCATGTGAGTGTGAGTGTGAGTGTGAGTGTGAGTGTGAGTGTGTGTGTGTGTGTGTGTGTGTGTGTGTGTGTGTGTGTGTGTGTGTGTGTGTGTGTGTGTGTGTGTGTGTGTGTGTGTGTGTGTGTGTGTGACTACTGCCATTATAATTCTGGGCAGGTGATCAGACTTGACCCCCACCAACTATGTCTGGCCCGCCAGCCAAGATCGTGTGCCAAGTGTCTGGTGCTGCCCGACTCCCCACTGGCTGGTTAATGAAGGGCTTCGTGGGGGGAGAGAAGACGCGGGGGAGAGAGAGAAGAAGAGGGGGGGAGAGGGAGGGGAGGATGGGGATTTAGGGGTGGGCCTCCCCTCAATTGCAGGCCTGTATCGGGCCAGCTGTTGATTCACAGCTCCGTCTGCACCACAACAAACACAAGGGCCACACAAGGGCCGTCCCGGGCAGAGTGGGACAAAAAAAAACCGGCAAGAAAAATAAAAAAAAGAAGCCTGGCAGTCAATTTCTCCACTGTCGCTACGGAAACAGAGCTGTCTCTATTGGGACTGAGGAGCGTCTGACTACATTCTTCTCTATCTCCCTCCTTTATGCTTTCTCCATTATCTCCCCGCTCATCCCCCCGGCTTCTTCTTCCTCGTTTCTTCCTCCCGCTCTCACCTGCTCTTCTGGAACAAATCAACAGCTGTCTGACTCTGAGCAAGTGCACTGGCTGTAAAACAAGCCACTGTTCCCCAGGCTGCAGTCATTTGTCTGTCTGCTAATTCAAAAGGTGGGACAGCGACTTCCTCCGCAGGCCTTTCATGCTGCTGGCCAACCACATATATCTCACAGTGAAATGCACCACAATGCTCAATTCTAAGTCCAAAAGAAAAACCAAATCACTGACCACAATCTGTCCTGCAGCCCCCGGAGGATAAACACATTTACAACAAATGTGCACCACACTGCTGTGAATGACCCAAGGGTGTCCTGCAGAACAGAAGGTCCTTTCAGAGAGGTGCAAAGGATAGCTTTGCCAAGATATAAATGAGTGTTTGCCCCCGTAATGCCGCTCTCATCAGCCACAGAGGGACCTGTTAGCAGTAACGTTGCATTAGCAGGTTGCAAACAGACAAGAGGACAAACCAAGCTCTTTCTTCCTGCGCAGAAAAACTAGACTATGTGTATTCTAATTCCAGTCACCTTGGCTATGAAACAAACAAAGGTAGTGTCTCACGCTACTAGTACAATCCTCAATTGTTGCCAAGGAGCATTCTTCCCATTCAGTGGAATTAAACGTGCTCTTATCACCTGGAAACCTAATTTTGGGACCTTGTTTGGGATTTGTAAACCTGCTCTACAAGACCAAAATCAGCAGGAGGGTTTCCTTTCAAAGCAACAATGCACGGGTCTGACAGGTATACGTGTGCGTGTGCAGGAACAGAGGAGAAGAAGGAGTCAGAGCATCTGAGGAGAGACTTTGAGGCTGAGCGAAACACATTGGAACGACTAATGTGGAGCAAAGGAGTTCTTTGACATCAATCCGGTGCCACAGTTGATAATAAAAGCAACTTAGAATCTCAGTCAAATGACTACTTCGACACCCATTTCCATAAATCCCCTCTTAGTTGATGCAAAACCGTATTCAATATGTACAATGCTCCGTACTACTCTTAACTCTCATGTGATCTAAGGGCCACTTTCTGCACAAAATACAGTTTTGATAAGGATGTTATCAAGAGAATTCATGTGAAAATCTCTTTAGTTTTTGATTTCCCAACAACACAGCTGTGTGTTTGCATCTTCCAATCATATCCACTTGAACGTTTTGACCAAAGAAAATCAAAATACCTACCAAAATATTCCTTTTTCATGTGCATCTCTAACTCCTTCTCCAGCTCCAGGGTGAGGGCCTCCAGCCTCCGCTCCGCCTGGCTGGGTCCGCTCTCTCTGCTGGGGGTCACCTGGTAGGGCATCTTAAACCTCTGGCTGGAAGCTGTCTTTGTTGCCACTCCGTAACAAAACGATGACGGAGACCCCGCGATCATCTCCACTGTCCCTGCCTGCTGGGGGGCCTGCTGTTGGGGCTCCGGCACCGCAGAGAGCCCCTGCAGGTGGATCCGGTTCTGGATCCCGTTGGAGTCTCCATACTCCTGCAGCAGCGTGTCCTCGTGCAGACCGCTGCCCAGCATGGAGGACCGGGGGGAGGGCAGCTGCAGGTCTGGGTAGGTGCTCATAGACCCCCTGGAGCTACGGGAGCTCCTGGAGCTGTGGCTGGAGATGCTGGACCGGGGGCTCACCACGCAGTTTGCAGAAGTCCCGGGTCTGGCACTCCCATCCTATCAAAGATTCAAAGGCTTTATTGACATATGAACTGTAACTACACTGTAGTTATGGCAATGTCCCACGCTTCTCCAACAATAGAACATCAATATATCAAAGACATAACTTATAAATAGTGCAAGAAGAAACTGAGAAGAAATTAAATGTGCAAGATTACGTTGCAAGACCCATGTGCAAGTAGAGCAGGAGAAGTGAAATATATACAATATATCATGTCAAATAAAATACAATAAGCTAAATGTAGCAGAGAACTTCAGCCCACTTTCCAAGCCTCAAGGATCCTTCTCAGGACATTAAGCCACCTGCCACCGTTCTGAATTTGTTTTTAATACAACGGATATTTTAATGTAACCAGCAGAAGAACAAAGCCCTCTGTACTTCTACTAAGACTGCAACTGAGTCATTTTGATATGCAATCTCCCTTTTTGTGTGCATTTATTGTAAGTTGTACTGTGTGAGTGTTGTTTTATGTTATTGCCAGTGCCTAAGACAAGTTTCCATTATATGTATTCTGAATCTGAATGTTGCAGATTCAATGTGGTCTATGTACATGTCAAAATAGAGTCAGATAAGCAAGGGCAGAATGTACAAATTCATACTTTAAAAAACAACAACAATACAAATAGTGCAAGGAAGAAACTGAGTAGAAATGAAATATAAATAAAGTTGCAAGACCAATGTGCAGGTAATGCAGAAGTGAAAAATATACATGTCAAATAAATTGTTGCACCGCACGTGACCAAGTAAATGTAGGACTCTATTTGCATGTAAAACAGAATCAGATAAACAAGAACAAAATGTAAAATTAAAGTTAAATACCTGGCTGCAGATGCTCGACCGAGGGCTGGCCAAAGGGGCTCCGTGTAGAATCGCCCCCTCCAGGTCATGGTTGCCCGAGGGCCCGTACCGTGAGTCCGAGTAGCTGGACCGGGGGCTGGTGGTGAAGGAGTACTGGCTGGCCGTGCTGGACCGGGGGCTCGCGTGCCTCTGGTCGTAGCCCATGCTGATGCCACTGGTTCTGTTGCTGCTGGGTTTGCTGCAGCAGTCACAGCTGTTGAGGCTGGCCCGCGGGCTGGAGTGTTTGCTGGTGTCGCTGGCGGTGCTTGCATAGCTGGATCTGGGGCTTTGCACACCCTCACAGTGCACTAAACTCGACCTGGGGCTGATGTACCTGTCCTGGCCCGGCACCACCAGACTAGTGCGCGGGCTGCTGAGGCTCGACCTCGGGCTCGCATGCTTGCTCTGCTCCTGGGAGGACAGGGACGATGCTAGGCTGGACCGGGGGCTGGTGGGGTTGTATCTCCCGTCGTGGCTGCTGGTGATGCAGACGCTGTTGCACCTGTTGGCGGGCACTGCAGCCGGTTTGTTGAGAGGCACGCCGTCGAAGGTGGACCCGGTGCTGTACCTGTGGCCCTGCACCTCCAGAGAGTACCTCCGGTGCCTCTCTGAAGCCCCGGTGTAGCACGGCAGAGCCACTTCGGATTTGGTGCAGCAGCCCTCGTCTGCGTAACCTGCGTCTCTCTGCGGGGCACAGAAATCCACCGGCACGGTCCGGCTGCAGTTGACCGGGCGCACCGGAGCCGCCGTGTACACTTTATTCCCAGTCGTGAAATTCTCCACGGTGTGATGCTGCTGGTGCAACACAGAGGTGCCATTCATTGGCTTACTTTTATGCTCTGCTACCGCCGGAGCAGAAAAGTCTAAATCAGGGTTAATCACCAAGTCTCTCCTCGCATACATCCCGTCTTTATACGCATCATACAGGGAAAGATCCTCCATCAGTTTGCTGGCCCGGAGTCCCAGATCCTCCTGGTAGTGCTCCATGTTGTGAGAAACAAGTTGAGAGTGTGCTCCGCTCCGCAGACTAGCGAGCACCGCGGAGCACTAATTGCATTTCACATGGAAATCAAAACAAAACGCCGCGGTACAGCCGTCGCTCATTTACAAAGAAATAAACCTCCAACGCAGTCTAAAAACCTCCACCGTGTGCCGCATCGTCTTCCTGTGCTTTGCCCCCTTCGCCGAAGAAACAAACTCTTTCTCACAGTTTTCAGCCGACAGGGATACGTTTGTCAACTTCAGTTTTTGTTAAGTTGAAAGGTCTTTACAGTCAATGGCGCGCTGCGCGGAGGAATTTCCCCTTGTTGGTTTTTCCTCTAGTTTCGCTTACGATCCCTTTGCCTCAAATCAAAGTAGCCAGGATAATCGGATACGCCTTAAATATCCGTTGTATGTAAGTCTGAGCCCAGTAAGCGTGCGGAAATCTAAATAAAACAGCGTTTTACACAGGGGACTCGTTTGCGTAAAAGGAATGCGGGGATGAAGACAGGATGCGCTGCGCCTCTCTGGAATGTGGTTAATGCTGCAGAGAAACAATGATTGCGACCAACTCAGCAAGGGGCTGCCGGCTCTGAAAAGAGAATAGTTTAGAGAGAAGGGGACGTCTGCATTCATCCCAGGCAGACTCAAATACCGCTCAAAGCACGCCTCACCTGGTCCGACTCCTTTTACACCAGGAATAAGCTGCAGGGACTTTGTAATAAGGAGGGAAAGGCTATTTATATATAAACTCAAGTTTATCCACATTTTTTGAAGTGCAATGATATAAAGATTCTCAGATCACCCTAACTCGAGTGCATAAGATCCAGATGAATATAATGTGTAATTATCAAAGCTAAATCAGAATAATGTGTATTGCAAAGTAGGTTTGGGAAGATGCTTTGGTGTAGAATGTGCATGCAAAAACACAAAGACAACATTGGATTTAAAATGGTATAAAAACTATGATAAAAAGTAGTAGAGCTGTGCAGAAATGTGCGAAAATGTATAGGTATAGGTTTTTAAAGAATATTAAGATGTCTGCAACAAAACAAATAACACAAAGGACATATAGCAAAGGATTATTCTCTGTTTGTAATGGGCTGCATACAAATGTATTCAACTTTGAGTAGAACTAAACTGATTGCAAAGAGCAAGGATCATTCACAAAAGGAAACTACATAAAAAGCTGTGGAAAGAAATGTTTGTCCATGATAACAAATGGAGGTCATATTTAACTTTGTATTTGGTCAATTATTCCTGTGAGATTGGGATATATATATATATCAGGATCCTAAAACACAGCTTACCTGTTTACATAACATTTAAAAACCACCATGAATGCAGGTATAGTTTTCAGAACATTCTTTTGTATTTTATTTATTACAGCTCCACAAAAGCAGCATCAGAAAACATGTCTGTATTATTTCGAAGCTTATGGTAAAAAGAGGTAGTATTTCTAACAACAGCCATATAGGATGTTAAATTAAGACTTTAAGGTACAGAGACCATTTACTTATGTTCACATTTGTTGGCTGTATAAAAAGGTGTGTTTAAGTCTGAAGCACCTGCCATGTACCGACTGATTATGTAATCAAATGTGTCCATGGATCTTAAGACGCCTGATTTGTTTTGTTTAGCTGCTTATCAACTGCCAACAAATGGAAGAAAAGACAGAGCCACAGCAACAAGGGCAGCACAAATCAGGAAGTCCAGTATCAATCGACCGAAGACGGAGCTTTGAGATTTCTTCCCATGGCCTCTGCTTCTGAACCATCGCACCACCTCATCCAGGTTGTACTCCTGGGGCTCATAACCGAGCTCCTCCTTGGCTTTGGCCATGCTGAAGTAATGTGTCACGCCGGTCTTATACACCTCTGTACGTGTCAACAGGGGCTGGAAGTTATAGACGGGCCCGATGAGGAGGTGAATCATCTCTGTGAGGAAGGCCACAAAGTAGATGAGAGAGACGGGAAGGCGCAGTTTGGGGAAAGGATACCCTAAACCCTCAACTAGAGGTCTGAAGAACTCAAAGTTGTTGACGGGCTTGCCATCTGAGATAAAGTAGGCCTGGCCAGAAGATCGGTGCTGCTTCTCTGAGGTCAGAGCCTCCGCTGCGAGCTCATGTGCAGACACCAGGTTGTCCACATGCACAAACTCCACCAAACTCTTAGGATCTCCGTACACAAACCTGAAGATCCCCTTCTCTATGTAGCCAACTACCCTGGGCAGGTGCCTCTGCTCGCCCGGCCCGTAGATCCCTGCAGGACGCAGAGCACAGCTTCTCAGCACCCCGGCACCTTCCTTCAGAGCTGTGCCGTTAGCTTTCAGCACTGCCATCTCCGCCATAGACTTGGTTCTGGAGTAGTGGTCGGGGTGGAGGTGCAGAGGAAGATAAGGGAGGCTTTCATCCCCGTTCTCTATCACTTGGCCTCCGAACACCACGTTAAAGGTGCTGGTGTAAACGAGCCGGGACACTCCGTGCTCAATGCAGGCCTGCAGGACGTTCTGTGTGCCCTGAACGTTCACCGCCTCGATCAGGTGCCGGTTCAGCTGCTCCCTGCCAGACATGCCATAGGAGGCCAGGTGGAATACACAGTCTGCACCAGCCATGGCCTTCTCAACTTGTGCATACTCACGAATATCTCCTTGAACAAACACAATGTCCTCTGGCAGCTCTTGCTTTGGAGAGATTGTGTCGAACAGGATGATTTTGGCTCCTTTTTTATGCAGGGAGCATGCCAGGCTGCAGGGGGAAACACATTATTTAATATGAACTTATCTATGCACAATAAGTCCATATTTAAAATCACAAGTGCACAAAATATGTCATAAATAAGAAGAAATTGCATGCATCTCTACTTGTTAAACCAACCACAGGTCTGTAACATTAGATGAAATCTAAAAATAATAACTGATGCAATAGCGCCACCTTGTTGTGGTAAAGCAGTGTAACAGCACAGAGAGACTGAAACCATTACTGTGTTTACTGACAGTGAATGCGAACTTTTTTTTGTAATAAAGAAAGTAGTTCTTACCGATAACCAAAATAGCCACATCCCCCAGTTATCAAAAACGTGTCTGTTCGTGCATTTGTCATTGCAGGAGGAAGAATCTGTGTGTTTAAAACAGTTTGGATTATGCACAATTGAATAACAACAAAGTATACTTATATGTTTAGAAAGAACATATAAAAACAACATGGTTAAAGTAAAAGATAATACAGTTACAAACAAAGAAACAACAAAATAAAAGCTGCGAAGTTGACGTTACCTAACCTGCAGTCTAAAGGCTGGGTCAATGGACAATACTTGGATAATTGTGCATGTTATGTAATAAACTGAATGCATAAACGTTACCTGCCACATCTATTTTCAATAAGGGGTTATTCAAGATGCCATGCCTTAAACTGTTCTACAAACTAGCTTAAGTGTGCTACATGCTCGTACAGTAATTTAAATATAAACCCATGTTGTATTATAAACTAAATCAATTCACGTGTTTACTGTTGGTACCAACCTGATCATACGCTGAGTAGAACAAGAGGTAAATGTGAGTTGAATATCACGTTTTTAAAACTCTACTACAAGCACCGGCGTGCACTTCCTTGGTCCGTGCTGTGCTTATGTTACGTAATGTACGTAAATAACATCGAGCAGCTGCGTCAAGTTTACGTAAAGGCAGACAAATACCGGAAGTTTTTCTATGCATTCTTTGCGATTTCAGATAACACAAAAATGAATGATTATTAAATAATTTATATTTTATAATCGTACAATTAACGTATGATTAAATGTTTAGGATTTGGAATCTCTCATCGAATGCATTCTCAGTTCGGTGTCCGCCGATTGTGCTTTTATTTTGAAGGATGTAACCGGAAGTATTAATATAAATACATTAATGATGCGTTCTGCCAGCAACATAATAACTTCCTGTGTGCAAGTCGTGCCTTCAGAATAAAAGCAGAGACATTTAAAAAAATGTTTTAAATTAAATTATAATGTAGTATAATTTTGTTTAACTAATATAACGAAACATCTTATTACTAATTGGTATTGAAAAGCCATAATAAACGTCATTACGTCCAGTCACTGGCAGTACTAGTCATGGGCGTCACTTTGTTAGAAAAAGAGGTGACAATTTTCCAGATTTAACATCAGCATAGCAAAAGACAACCGATGTTCTCTTAACAATCTTTTTGCACTAATTGAAAGTATGAAAAGAGTGTAATGCATGCAATATTCCAATAAAGTTTGAAAAAAATTAAATCTTGTACTTGTTGGGGAAATATTTTCCAAGGCCCATAACTTTGACCCAGTTTGTCAGTTTAAACTGTCCTGAATGAGCCCAGGCACCTGCAACCTTGGCTGCTGTGCTCTCAGTGTTTTGCCTCCCTCTTCCTGCCTGTTGGCATCAGCTGATAGAGGTGTTATGATTCTATCTTGTTATGCACAATGCTGATTATTCTCTCTGAACTAGCTAAATGTATGGGTCTGGGGTAGAGTTCTTCAGAATTGATTGCGGCATCTCAACCGTGTGGTCAACTCGTGGCCCTTGACATGTCTTGTGAATTCTCCGGCCGAAGCTCCAAATAAACCGTCAGTGTTTGCCATCAAAGCTCCAGCTCTCCATTGTGTCTCTTTGAGTCCTGACTCCCAATTGCTTCAGAAGATTCCCCCACAGTAATACTGATTTAGGAAAAGTTTTTCCATTCTTCTAAACGATAAAATATATTTATAATGAAGGTTATAATAAATGAACAAAAGCATGTTTGTAATATGTAGTTATAACATTACAAAAGTCATATAAAAGTCTCGGGGAAAAAAACAGAAATCATTATATTAATAATTGTATTGTGTTCTTTGCACACGTATTTCAATGTGCTACTGTTTTGTGCTGTCTTCAAATGTATTTATCATGTCAGTGTGAAGTATAAGTGTAATAAAAAGTAAAAAATAAATGAATAATAATAATTAAAAAAGACAAAAGATGTCCCTCCCCCTCCTGCATGAAATACCAATGCATATACCTCTGGACCACCACTGTGTTTTAACTACAATGAACATCCAACTATTGGTCTTTCTGTGATGTGATTTGGATTGAATGTGTACCTTTATGCCCACAACGAGCACACAGGTATGGAGGATAGAACATGACATGAGTACAGAATATATAAATGCATAAATACAGGAATGAATAAATAAATAAATACAAGGACAAATAAATAAATATGGAAATAAATAAACGAATGTATAAATACAAAAATAAAACCCGATCCGCACTGCGCATGTGCGAGATGGTCCGCCATATTGGACAACTCCATACGGCCACTCAAATAGGACATTCCATGGAATGCATCCCGATAGCAATGAATATCTTAAATGCTTTGACAAAAAATCCATACAAAAATGTCATCTGTGGAAACCGTAGTACTGTAAAAAGTACGACCAATCATCTGAGCCGGCCTGGCTAAAATAACTGGATGGCCTACCTGCCTGTCAGCCTTCCATCTGTGCACAAACTTATCTCGTGCCCTCATTGGTCATGTGTTGGACGAGGGGCTCTGTAAGGAAGTGGCAGATTTTCTCCGGTCGTGTATTTTCAAATTCGAGCGATCTCGAGCCGGTTTCTCAAATTTACCCTACCTTTAAAGTCATGTTGTAAAATTACAACCGGGGGCCTTACAGGGTTATGGGCTATTGTTTATTGTTATTTACTTTAAGATGTTAACTCTTAACCTATCATTTAATTTAAAAACTCTTATTTAAATGATGTGTGTGTGTCTCTGTATTCCTGATGATACACTGAGAGAATGAGCTCATAGTGCTGCTGGTCACCATAAGCTAAACAGTCTGTATATTGCACTACATTTGTATAATGTAAGCTTCGTTGATACTTTGCCTGCGGGAATACGAAAAAAATAGTTAGATATACTGAATATTATTTGATCTATTCCACCACTTAATCCCAAATAATGTAGAGGTGTGTTGTAGGTGCCTTAAATAACCCCTTATTTTCTAGTGAGATGTATTTTTATGTTCATATAATAGTGATTTCAATACCACCCCAAAATGATCACTGGTTCTATCCTGGCCACCCCACTGAAAATGTCCTGGCTCCGACATTGTACTGCCATGTCGTAAATACTTGCTGCTCATGCTCTTTCTGCATGTCATAAACATACCTTACCTTATACATAAGCTGATCACAAATGAAACAATTATACAGTGTTGTGCTTTTATAAGGATGGTTTAAATCTTCTCTTACCTTTCAAATGTATTGCATTTGTTTTTTTTGTTTAAATGGCTGACGTGACGTTTGCCTGGCTTTATACCTGCAAACTTAGGCAAACGTCACGTCAGCCATTTAAACAAAAAAAACAAATGCAATACATTTGAAAGGTAAGAGAAGATTTAAACCATCCNGGGTTCAAGCTGAAACCAGACCCGTCCTGCGCTTTGGTCTTTGGCTTTCTACCGGTCGGGACCCCTCATCGTCTGCGTCGAAATGATTGGTAAACGCTTTTCCTTCTCGCATTTCGTCGCCGAATTTTTCTTTTCGTCTCTCTCTCACAAAAAAAAAACAAATAACTCCAGGAGAGTTACCCACCCTACACGCCTTGTGCGGAGACCCCGGTCCAACTTAAACGGAAACCCTTTTACCCAACGAAACGATACCCCGCGCCGCAACTCGTCGGCACCTACAACAGCTTTCTACTGAGCAACACCTTCAGGCCGTAATGAGACACACAAACACTTACTTGGTTCTTTGAGATGCACTTTGAGCTGTTTGTATAGTGTTCAGTTAGTCTGGAATCAAGTTCAAAACGAAATT